TTTCGGTTTTTTTTGTAAGCCAAAACTATTTGTGGTAAAGTGTGCTTAGGGAGGAGTATCACCTTAAGAGTCTGAATTTCCAATCAGTGTTTCAAAATTCTAAAACTAGTTAAGACTACTACTGCTGCTTTGTGGACAACAGACTGGAAAATAAGGCCTGAGCCACTGGCCAAGTCAATGCAAGGAGAAAAGACTAGTCAACTTCTAAGAGATAATTTAAATAAACTGGGAAACTGGAATATGTTTATTAGTAAAAAGGATGCTATAAACCAATGGAATGTCCAATTCTTAAATAATTCATTACTCTTTTTCTTTCACTTCTTTCTTGCCCTGATTTTTACATACAAAACACCATTCTGTTATAGTTTATCTCAAATCATAACTGGCCATTCCCTTCTGAGTGTTTGCATATATGGGCTCCAGCTTATTAATCAGAGTCCACAGCCACTTTCAGCTACCAGACTTCATTTTCTAGGACTGGCTCTCACAGACTGCTTTCACTGAATTTCTCATATTTATAACTCTATTTCAGCCCATTTTGATGCTAACCTTCTTTCCTCCATTAAAAAAGTAGAAGAAAGTTTCTGTAGAAAGGGATTTCTGAGGGTAATGAAGTGAACCACACAATGAATGACTCAGGGGCAGATACAGCAGGACAAGGGGCAGCAACTCACAACTGTTCCTTGGAAAAGAGCTCCTGTAATATCAATCCTCTCAAGCATATGGTGAGAGAGCCAGAGGACAGACTGAGACACCAGCTCAACACTGCTCCAGAGAGGGATGACGGACACCTTTAAACATGAAGTTATAGATTGAGAAGCAATCCAATCTGATTCCAACAGATCTCCCTACTAAAAGCTGCTTATTGCCATGACCCCCAAAAGCAGAAGGATCTGCCCCTCCTACACCAGAGTTGGCCTTGTAAGAGGATATCTGGAGGCTGGTGTAGGCAGCTACCGTTACTAACCTCCTCTCCCTTACAAACTGATGTTAAACAGACCAACCTTGGTTTTAATAACAAAATCTGCAAGTTGGATCCCATGCTACCATGTGTCTACTTTATACCCATTATCCTCCCAACTCACAGGGTTTGCTTTTTTTTCTAAGTTACCTTTTAGAAAAACACATTTTACATGTTATTTGAATTCCTAGCAGGGTCTCAACAGTTTGAATTTATACACACAAGTCTCACGTCATTCCTTAACAAACTTTTGCTTGCAATCATAAGGTTCCTTTCCTGTGTGGATTATCTGATGTTGAGAAAGAGTAATACTTGCTAAGTTAAAGGTACCACATTCCTCACGATAGAACACAAACATTTCAAGAGGTCCATACAAACTGGCAAGAAAACCCCAACCTGGTTCCACCACACTTGAAAGTGTAAGGATCCCAATTAATTTTCTTGAAGCTGAAGTAAATGATTAAGAGGAAGGAAAAGAAAAGCAAGTGATCAAATGAAATACCTAACTGCACCTTAAGATCTGGTGCTGTAAAACGAATTGAAGTTATTACATTGACACTTCATTTGTTTAAATTAGTCCTGCAGGGAGCCACCCTCTGAATCTGAGGGAAGGGAAGGCTGCCTTGGGATTGCTGCTGTGCACCTCAGCAGCCTGCCTTTAGTTAATGGTTCACTGGGAGACTTAAATCCCCTGATAGCTGAATCTCTAAAATAGAAATCAAAAAGTGACTGCTTTCTCACCAGTGTAACTTGTATAACATAAAATAGTGAAGAATCTATCAACGAATCAGTCACTCTCCACTGTGACCTGCACAATGTTGAGTGAAGGCTGACTGGGTAGGAGAGAGCTCCCCACACCTACTACATTTATAGGCCTGCTCTCTAAAATGAGGTTTATGGACTCTCTCATGACTAATAAGAATTATTCTTTGACTGAAAGTCTTTCCACATTGGTTACATGTATAAGATCTCTCTCCACTGTGTATTTTCTGATGTCGAATAAGGTGAGAGCTTTGTCGGAAGGATTTCCCACATTCAGCGCATTCGTAGGGTTTCTCTCCAGTGTGAATTCTCTTGTGTTGGATAAGGGATAAGCGTGCACTGAAGGATTTCTCACATTCATTGCACATGTAGGGTTTCTCTCCAGTGTGAATTCTCTGATGCTGAATAAACTGTGAATGCTGACTAAAGGCCTTGCTGCACTCACTACATTCATAAGGCTTCTCCCCAGTATGAATTCTGTGATGTTGAATGAGAGAGGAGCGAACATTGAAGGCCTTCCCACAGTCACTACACTCGTAAGGATTCTCTCCAGTGTGAATTCTTCGATGGCGGATAAGGTGAGCACTCTGGCTGAAGGCCTTCCCACAGTCACTGCACTCATAGGGCTTCTCACCATTGTGTGTTCTCTCATGCTTAATCAGGGTGGATATCTGTCCAAAGGTTTTCCCACACTCATTACACTCATAGGGTTTCTCGCCAGTGTGACTCCTCTGATGCTGAATAAGATGTGAGCCCTGGCTAAAGGCCTTCCCACATTTGTGACACTCATAGGGTTTCTCTCCATTATGTACTCTCTGATGTTGAACAAGGGAAGAAAGCACACTGAAGGCTTTATCACATTCGTTACATTCATAGGGCTTCTCACCATTGTGTGTTCTCTGATGGTGAATAAGATTAAAACTCTGGCTGAAGGCTTTTCCACACTCATTACATTCATAGGGTTTCTCTCCAGTGTGAATTCGCTGATGCTGAATAAGATGTCCCTTTTGACTGAAGGTTTTCCCACACTCACGACATCCATAAGGCTTCTCACCAGTGTGAATTCTCTGATGCTGGATAAGGGATAGGCGAGCACTGAATGATTTTCCACACTCATTGCAGACATAAGGCTTCTCCCCAGTGTGAATTCTCTTATGTTGAATAACTTGTGAGCGCTGACTGAAGGATTTTCCACACTCATTACACCTATATGGTTTCTCTCCAGTGTGAATTCTCTGATGGACAATAAGGGTTCGGTTCAGGCTAAAGGATTTTCCACACTCATTACACTCATAGGGTTTTTCTCCTGTATGAACCCTCTGATGTTGAATGAGAGATAATCGTGCACTGAAGGCTTTGCCACACTCACTACAGTCATAAGGTTTCTCTCCAGAATGAATTATCTGATGCTGAACAAGGTGTGACTGCCTGCTGAAGGCTTTCCCACATTCTTCACACTTGTAAGGTTTCTCTCCACTATGAATTCTCTGATGATGAATCAGATTAGAGCTATGACTAAAGGCTTTCCCACACTGATTACACTCATGAGGTTTCTCTCCTGTATGAATTTTTAGATGTTGAATATAAGATGAACGTGTACTGAAGGCTTTCCCACATTTATTACACTCATAGGGTTTTTCTCCAGTGTGAATTTTACAGTGCTGAATAAAGTATGAGTGAGCATTGAAAGTTTTACCACATTCCTCACATGTGTAGGGTTTCTCACCAGTGTGAATTCTCTGATGTTTGCTGAGGACAGAGTGCCGACTGAAAGCTTTTCCACATTCACTACATTCATAGGGCTTTTCAACAATATGAATTCTTTGGTGCCGACAGAGAGCTCTGTTCTGCCTGAAAGTTTTTCCACACTCAGTACACTCAAAGGATTTCTCTGGATTGTTAATCCTCTGATTATCACTAAGAACTGAACTCAGTCTAGGTACTTGCATAAACACATCTGTCTGACAGGCTCTTTTTCCTAAATGGAAACTCTGGAGGTTAATGATGTTCTTATATTGCTCAAACTGTTTGACACATGACACACTCTGATGGAGACTTGCCTCTCTAGCTACTCTAACATGTCTGGAAGGATTTGAGTCTGTAGAGCAGTTTTCACCAACAATGAACTTCTGACATTTCTCTGCAGTGGGGGTTTTCACATGATTCATGGTCTCTGTTTGGAAATTGCTCTTCTGGGAGGATTTCTTACATCCTTCTACTACAGCTTTTCTCCAGCAATCCCCTAACTGTCCCTCAGTTTTACTCATCTCTTCAGGTTCTGTGGAAATATTCCTTACATGTTCTTCTGATTTTGCTCTCTGGGTTTCCATTTCTTCAAAAATGTCCTGCTTTGGAGTCAATTTATTTTTTTCAATCCTAGAATCATAACCTAAAAGAATAAAAAACAATGAGTCACTCATGTTTTACTATGAGAGAAAGAATTAGAGCATAAGCAGGAAAATTTAATATAAAACAAATATCTCCTAAGATGATACCGGATATCCAGAATGCAAAAAAAAATGACCTCACTGGGAAGAGGAGAGGAATGAGTAAAGAAGAAGCTTGCTGTCAAAGCAGCAGAAACTGGCACGGGAAGGAAGGAAAAGAAGGAAGAAGGAAGGAAAAAAGCCCAAGGTCAAAGGTCTACAACTGCAACCAGGCCAACCAGGAACAGATGGAGTAGGACAGCAAGGCATGACCTCAGAGAGGTGAGCAGGGAGATCAGGAAAAAGGCAGCGGAGGTTTGGAGTTTACCATCTCTGCTGTTCATGTCACTGCTGCATACTTTGTAAACAAGGCATATTCTTATGGCCTACACATAACAGGTATTCAAATACTTGTTGAAAAATAAATAAATGACAAATGACTCATAATGAATGAGCTGTACAACAGAGTAACAGATTATGAGCACAACTATTTGCTCTGTACAACCTGGTTTCACAGATTCAAATCAGGAACAATAGAAAAAAAAAAGCAATCTACTCATTCAAATAGCAGGGGCAGCACAAGGTAAAAAGACCAAAATGCAGTCCCACACCACACATTCCTAGCAAAAAAAATGCCTAAAAATTTGTGAAAATTGTGATACAATTGAATTCTGGACCCAACTAAAGGAAGTTTATTTTTTAAAAAACAAATAAAACAAACAAAAATGAAACACTGAGTCACATGAATACAGACTGCAGGAGGGGCAACCAAGTTCAGAACAGTAAGAGGGTAGCCCTGTGCTGAGATACCACGAAAACGTGATGCAATCCCCTTTCGTCAAGGGCAGTTATTATGGGCTACAACAGGATGCTACTGGGGACTGCACAGCCAGAACAGAGAGACTGAGCTGAAAGTGATCACTGGACCAGGTCTAAAATTGGGCTAAGTAGTCTTAGATTTCAGTGAACTACTCCAAGTACTTTAGAGGGATTCATTTTTACTCTTCAGCACATGAAGGGGAAAAAGCAAGCTTCACAATTTATTCTGGAAACCCACGAGCAGTGTTCTGGATGATAAGCATCCTGAATTTCTGGAGTAAAAACTTCCGGGGTATCTGAGCAGTTCAGAGCCCTTAAGATCTCAGGACTAAAGTCTAAAAAGGTGATTCTAATCAAGAAGTGTTGGAAACAGAATGAATCTGAACAAAATGAAAAACCACAGGACAGCGTCATCTGTGAGTCAAGAAAGAACACCTCACACTAAAGTTCATCTTAACATTTCCCTCAGATACCCAGTGCCCCTCTTCGTTGCCTGTTTGTATTTTTAAATGAGGCAATAAAAAGATGCTTGGGAACTCTGTGTATGAGTGGTACTTGTCAATGAAAGGGCATTTGAGTGAAGTGATTATAAGGCCAGAACACCCCCAAATGCTAAAAACTGGAAGTCTTAGATCTAGGGCTGTTTAGTTTCTTTTGAGGCAATAACCTGGTTTTTCCCAGAGTTAGAAGATGCTCTGTTGTTGGGTATTCTTAATGCAGGGTAGGATGTAGTAGTACAAGGCATTCCTGTTTTTAGACATTTTAGTTGATACCTCAGGTTTCAGGTTAAATTTTTGGTTTTTGGACAATAAAATACCTTCATAAAGGGTATAATAATTTTCCATCAGGAGGTATAAAATGTCTCACTGCATCTCTTTTTGTGATATTAGCAGCCATTAATGATCATTATCTGGATTCACTTTTAAATTTCAGATTGTGAAATATTGATATTGTAATTTCCATTCCTTCATTTTTTAGCTGAAACCTCTATGAAGAGAAGTTAAACTTCTATTCATCAATTGTTTGGTTATCCTGGGGTACAATACATCTATTACAGGCAGAATAAATACTTGACTCTTCTATTTACCAGTTTTCAGAATTCCTAAAATTCCTTAGAATCCTCAAAGGTGACCAATGAGTAGCAAATTTTTTTTTTCTGAATATCAGACCAGCCTTAACAAAGCCTAAGACCACTGTGACAAGATAAGGTGATCCAATGACAAGTTCTCTCTATAGCTTTTTATCTATAATAATTGACAATCAAATATCAGAAAGCATGTGGGAAAAAAAAAGAAAGGGCAAATGACAAGAAACCAAGACAGAAAATACATGATAAAAACAAATCCATAGGGGCTGGGTGTGATGGCTCACACCGGGAATCCTAGCACTTTGGGAGGCTGAGGTGGGAGGATCGCATGAGCCCAAGAGTTTGACACAAGCCAAGAAAACACAGCAAGACCTTGTCTCTTAAGAAAATGAAGAGAAAAAAAAAAAGGCCAAGTGTAGTGGCTCATGCCTGTAATCCTAGCACTTTGGGAGGCTGAGGCGGGAGGATCGCATGAGCCCAAGAGTTTGACACAAGCCAAGAAAACGCAGCAAGACCTTGTCTCTTAAGAAAATTAAGAGAAAAAAAAAAGGCCAAGTGTAGTGGCTCATGCCTGTAATCCTAGCACTTTGGGAGGCTGAGGCAGGAGGATAGCTTGAGGTCAGGAGTTCAAGACCAGCCAGAGCAAGAGGAAGACCCCATCTCTACTAAAAAATAGAAAAAATTAGCTGGACAACTAAAAATATAAAAAATTAGCCGGGCATGGTGGCACATGCCTGCAGTCCCAGCTACTCGGGAGGCTGAGGCAGGAGGATCACTTGAGTCCAGGAGTTTGAGGTTGCTGTGAGCTAGGCTGACACCATGGCACTCTAGCTTGGGCGACAAAGCGAGACTATCTCA